CTGCTCCCTTGCCCTCTCTACCCAAGGTGCTGGGGGGGGGCAGCCACAGAGGGGTTTGGCTGGCTGGAAAGTATTTTGTCTCACCTGCATGTGGCAGGGGGGCAAAGCAGCACCCCCTCAAACAGGAGCCTGAAGCTCTGTGGCTCATCCCCATGCTCTGGCAGGAGGGCAGGACACAGGCAGGGAAGGGGGGTACTGTTCACCCCAGGGCAGGCAAGGTGCAGGCAGAACCTACCCAAGCCCCCAGCCACCACCTGGGCTCGTCACTTTGGATGGGAGGTGGGGGGCAGAGCCTGGAGGAAGGGGCTTGATTTTGGGGGGGCGTATGGACGGGTGGGACACAGGGAGGAACTCACTGCTCGGCATGGCTGAAGTCATAGCAGAAGTTTAAATTGCTGGGGGGCTTGGGGACAGGAGGGGGAGTGTCAGGGATGCTGATGTTCTCCAGGTCCAGGAGCCGCAGCTTGAGCTCCATGGACAGCAGGACATCGAGGTCTGTCTGCGTTCGCTCGCTCGCCATCTCCTTGCCCAGGAGCACGTTCAGCCCATCCGTCCAGAGGCAGAACTGGGGGAGCAGAGCACGAGCATCTCCAGCACCAGCCCTGGGAGCCTCCCCCCGGCATGGCTCCCACCCTGTAGCCACACACACCCAAGACTCCCTTCCCCGCCTGCAAGGCCACCCAGCTACAGCAGGCCCTTGGAGCTCACCTCGTAGCGGGTGGGGGCAATGAAGTTGAGGCAGTATTCCTCTACGTCGTACACGATGGAGAAGGCCAGCTCCAGGACATCCTGTGGGGACAGCACAGCGCATCACTGGCTTCTCAGCCGGACTTTTGCAACCTACCAGGGCTCCCAGCAGGAGCTGCCTCCCAACCTCCTCCTTTGGCACCCCAAGAAGACCCAAGAGGTCACATCAAAAACCTCTCACCATCCATGAAACTACCTGACCTGCCACCATGCACCAAAATCCACCACCAGCTGCGGAGGTGCTGACCTTGTTTTGCTTCCCAGAGCTCTTCTCCTTCGTGTGTGGACACTCCTTCCCCACCAGCAGCAGCTTCATGTCTGCCACAGGAACTGGGACAAGCAGAGGAGCTGTGAGCACCTGCTCTCCTCTCCCCCAGATCCCCAGCGCGCAGAGCCCAGCCAGAGCCTGAGTGTGGGAGCCCACAGCAGCAAGGGGGATCTCAAGCCACTCTG